TATGTGTATATATATTTGTGTGTATATATATAATAACACACATATACACACATATATATAATATATATAATTTATATATGTATATTATACACACACACACACACACACACACACACACACACAATAAATAGGCATCAATTAGATTAACAATAACAATGAAGAGAGCACCAAGCAACAGGAGCAGCAGGTGCAAAGTGGTAAGGTCCCCAGGTAGAAGAAACTTCACAGACTTAGAAAGGAAGAATGGTACCAAATGAGAACAAAGAAAAAGTCAGCAACCAATTATGAAAGCTCTTTTATGCTATGGTAGTCCTTTGAGTAATCACCCAAGTGTTTTATTTACATTTGTGTGTGTATGTGTGTGTGATAACATGTGAGATTGTTGTGTATGTATATGTGTATGCATGTGCATGTGGTATGTGTGTGTGTGTGTTGAATATTCCTCCTTAATTTAGGGAATAAAAAGATCTTGAAGCAATACTCTTCAGATTGGAGTCTGTAACAATAAAATGGAGTGTTTAAAATATTATTTACCATCACCTGTTTTATATCCAATTACATAGACCACAAAGCATTGGTGCCATGAACTCAAAATGTCTTGCAGAATTCTAATGATAGGTTTGCCTTGTGGCTTTGTTAAAGCATCTACTCAAATTGAAGGAGAAGGGGATGGAAAATAACCTGACCCCCTTCTACTTCTTCAAATTATTATCATTGTGCAAACCTGTGATCCTGTTAATGACATTGTGATTTACATAAATTGTTTTCTAGAAAGGTTTTTTGTCCTTGACACCCCACCCTATATAATCTGTGGGTATGTCTGGACATGCAAGAAATGGAAGGAATTTAAGATAGAGTTTTCCTTACAGACTTTCATTTCACAGAGTTTTACTTAACTATACCTAGTTTTACCTAAGAGCACTCTGGTCTTTGTGGAAGGCAGTAGAAAAGAAGAATGACTGGGACAAGGAGTCCCAGAAATACAGCAGCTATCTTACGTAATCTTAGAAGAAACCATATACATTCTAGCATGTGGGTTGAATTCAGCTCCAGTTCATTTTTCTTATTTACTTGAGTTGGTAGGGAGGCCAGGCCAATACTTACTATGGACAATTGCCAGAGCCCAAGATTCTAACATCTCTAGGTAGAAAAAACTACCTTTCCACCATAGGAGAGGAATGGAAATAAATATTTGTTAAAGAATAACCCGAATTTTCATCTAGCCTGAGTCAGACAATTCCTTATGAGGTCTTTTCAAACACAGAGCAAGCACAGATGCAGATGATGACCATGTTGGAAATTTTCTCTCTAGCAGACAATGTGCCTTTGTCCTCATGATAACCTGACCCAAATTCCCCAAATTGAAATTTAAGAGGCAACTTGAAAAATCCATCTTTGAAAATCCAAAATGAAAGATAATAAGATATTGGCACTGCCTTTAAAAACTAGTAATATCATTTGTGAGTTTTTCACAGTCCATGCAATAATATCCTGAATTTTTTCCAGGTACTTAAAATTGTCACGTTATTTTACAATCTACAGATTTGCTTATAATGTGGCTTTTACCTATAACACAATCCCTGCCCCCACCTTTGACATCTAGAGCAATGCATTCTTATCTTTCAAGACTGAGATCCATAGACTCTTTTCCTGGAACATAACCACTGTTTGGAAATTAGTGAGTGGCTAACTATTTTTGTTGAATAAATACTATCTAAATAAATAAATAAATATCTAAACCTATTGTTTTACAATAAATTAATTTGAGACCCAAGGAAAAAAGTGACTTATCCCAAGTCACACAGACTGCTGTCTCCTTAAAACATATCCAGAAGCAATGACAGACAGATGCAAACTTCAGGTTCCAGTGATCGGCAACATGAATCTATTTGAGCCCTTTTATAAAGGCTTTCTGCTTAGCTCTTAAGAAACAGATTGGCTTATAAGGTCTTGATTTTAACATCATTTCTTTAATAATTTAAGACTATGATACTCTTGAAGTCACAGTCCTCCTTTTCAGGCCTTTAGCTTAAAGTGGGTTTTGTTCCCCTTGGTCTTCAGGTCTATTAAAAAGCATTTGGCAGATGCACACATTTGCTATAAGCCCAAGATATGGAGTGGGACAGAACTGCTGTCAGATAAGTTTTATGACAAGGTATGGAATATTTAGGATATATAATTATACGATTTCAATTGGCAAATGACTAGGAGCAGGGAAAATCTAACTTGATCTCATGAACATCTGGAGTTTATTTTCCTCTCTGGGGTATATTTGTCCTTTTTTTTTTTTTTTTACTTTGTGTTTTCTGTCTTTCCTTATGTACACTTCCTCTTCCTCTCTACCTTTTAGTCCAGGTAGTTCTAATTGGCTTATTCTCCCATACAACATGGTTTTAGAAGGAGCTTGGAAATCCAACCTAGGCATTAAGCATGTCTATCTCCTGACCAAGAAGGAAGGAGTGCCTGACACAAACCATTTCTAAAATATTCCATTCCATAGCTTTTCCTGGAACTCTTAGGACAGAGGATCATCTTTCTGTTGATCTTGAATATAGAAGAATGCTCTTAACATGCAAATAACTTCTCTCCTGACACCAAATCAGTCCATCAGAACTGACAGTTTGATAACTCCTGAATCCTTTGAGGCCATTGGATATAGTGATATTTGAAGCCAGACCACTGGGAGGAATTCTCATTTAGGCGATTTAAAATTTCTCATTTTTTTTCTTACCGTGGTTTGAATGGGCTCTCTGACATTTGCAAATGTGAGTGAAGTCTCTTGCTATTCCGAGGAGCTCTTTAAGGAGGTCTCAGAGACTGAAGATAAGGCAGTCAGGGGAGGCAGGTGGGTTATGTGCCACCCATAAAGGCAGACATAAGAGGAAGAATAAGCAAGGTCATGACATCGGTCCAAAAGATCTGAGCAATGAGTGAGAGCCTCTGGAGGGGAGCCAGCAGGGAAATGTGGCACCATCCTTCCTCTTCTTTTGCATAGCATGTTACTGCTTATAGTGCACTTTTTTACACGAGATCATATCTGTATATGATCTTGGGGTAGATATCAGCAGCCAGACTCTACGGTTAATACTCAGAGACTGGTTTTCCTCAGACTGTGTGATTAGAAAATGGTACATCCAGAAGAGATAAAGTCAAGTGCCTGTGACAGAATGGACCCTCAAAAAATGCTAATGATTTTCCTTTAAAACAAAGGCAATGAAAGGAAAAAATAAATTTTCCTTTAAAACAAAACAGTAATGAAAGTATTATCACATATGCAGTTTCAGAAGTAAAAAGTAATATGGTATATTTGGGGGAACTGATGAGTAGTTTAGATATAATTACAGTAAAGTATATGAGAGAGAATGCTTAAAAAAGAGATGAAGAAATGACAGTTGAGGGCAGGTTGTGTGGTTGTGTAAATGCTTTGTTAAGAGGGATGTACTGTATTCTTGAAGAAAACAAAATATATTAAAGCTATTTTTTTACTCTCATTTCTTTCTAAATTTAATTCAGGCTTGTGAACATGAGCATGAACTGTCCTGCACCCTAGCTCAGAACTTTCACTTTTTATGTGATATAAAATAAAAAAGTTAGATCGTTAAAATCTATTTAGGTAGCTTTTTGAAAAAATAATTGCTTAATATACTCTGTTTTGTTCATTTAGCGAAGAGGGATAAGGAGATCGTTTTCTACCTCAGAGTTTGTTTCAAATCTGATAGGGAAAATCAAACAGTCATTCTTCATGGAAAGATTTTGAAACTAATTTTCCTACACAGCATAGTTTCAGATCTGCCACTAACATGCTGTGTGATTGTGGGGAAATTATTTTTTTCTTCTGGACGGAATCTCTTTACATTGAAAATAAAGGTCTTAGATTTGACTTGAGCTCTGTTAGATGATCCATTTTATGTTCAGCATTGTAATCAGGAGTACATGAAATTTTGGCTGGGCATGGTGGTTCTTACCTGTAATCCCATAACTTTGGGAGGCCAAGGCAGGCAGATCACTTGAGATCAGGAGCTCGAAACCAGCCTGGCCAACATGGTGAAACCCCGTCTCTACTAAAAATACACACACACACTAAAGTTAGATGGGTGTACTTGTCCACATCTGCAATCCCAGCTACTGAGGAGTCTAAGGCAGGACAATAACTTGAATCTGGGAGGCAGAGGTTGCAGTGAGCTTAGATCATACCACTTCACTCCAGCTTGGATGACAGAGTAAGATTCTGTCAAGAAAAAAAAAAAAAGAAATTTTATTCTTAGTGAACAACCAAAGTAAGTGTTCCCAGAGAAGAGACACTCAGAAACATCCCCCAGGACCCCAGGGTTTATAATTTAGAGTGGACTCCTCTCTGCAAAGCAGATGATGTCATGATTGTGTGCACTTAAACAATGGAATCATCATGACCCTTGGCCACGGGCTTTACTCATGGTTACCTAATGAAGATACACATTTGTAAAATTTGTATTTGGTTGGTTGTTCTGCTAATTGAATGCTCATTTTAATTCTGTGAATGAATATAAGTTATCTGGAGCCAGGCCAACTGAAAGATGTCTCATTCTCTTTTGATTTACCTGTGCTCCTTCCCTTATTTGAAAAAGGAAACTCCACAACTGGAATAATAAATATAGTGATTTACTTATAAGTAAATTGATTTATTGATAGAAAAATTATTTAAAGAAATAGTATGTCAAAGTCTTAAGCTCAATTTTAGGAGCTGATTTCCACT